GGAGAAGGGCAACGAGACGGGTGAGTGGTCTGGAGAACAAGTCTTCTGAAGAGCGGCTGAGGGAGCTGGAGCTGTTCAGTCTGGAGAAGAGGAGGCTGAGAGGAGACCTTCTTGCTCTCTACAACTACCTGAAAGGAGGCTGGAGTGAGGCAGGTGTTGGTCTGTTCTCCCAGGTAACTAGTGATAGGATGAGAGGCAATGGCCTCAAGTTGCATCAGGGGAGGTTTAGACTGGATATTAGGAAAAATTTCTTTCCTGAAAGAGTGGTCAGTCTGCCCAGGGAGGTGGTGGAGTCCCCATCCCTGGAGGTTTTCAAAAACCGTGTATATGTGGCACTTCAGGATATGGTTTAGTAGGCATGGTGGTGTTGGGTGGATGGTTGGACTTGATGATCTTAGACGTCTCTTAATGATTCTATGATTCTGATCCTTCTGCAGATTTTAAATGGGAGTGGTGAAACTGTGGAGCGTAGTTTGTCCTGAATGGGAGCCATGCTGGAATGAAGTGTAAAGCTTAGGTTGTGCCCTCAGTGTGCTCTGGTAGGTGTTCCTCTCCTTTTGTTTATCTGTCTGTCTGAGGGAACCAGCAGCACTGTGCCTGTTGGGCAGACATCCAGACTCTGTCAACATCTTTAATTTCAGAGTAAGGCTAAAAATAAAAATGTTTTTTGTTACCTCCTCTATCATCAGACCTGGGTGCATTGCATCATACGGTATCGTATTTCAAAGTGATCAGAGAGCGTGAGATAATGAATGATGGTTTGTGATTAAAATAAGCATCTTTACTGGGGTTATTGTCACTATCAGCATCTGGTCTGGGGATTTTTAAAGTTCGGTCTGATCACTTCTAAAAATAATCTAGGTGCGGAAGTGATTTATGTTCATTTATGGTGGAGAGAGCTTTTTAGTAATCATTTTAATATTGTTATGCTTTCCAGTTTGTCATCTGTGCTTTTTTAAAAAGAGAACTTGACGTGTGAATTTGAATTTGACATCGTAATTGCTTGTGCTTACGGATTTGTGTAGATACGGGAGTTGATTTTTCTACTAGCAGGATACCCAAAGAAGAAAAAAAGACTTCTGTACACAGGAAAGCACTGGTCGGTTAAATCTGGAGTTTAAAAGGTTAAAAAAATTTATTTTAAGTACATGCTTGGAATTTTAACATGTTATCTCTAACATGAGTGCTCAGCTTCCCTGCAGGTTTTTAACCGTCTGTTGGAGCACTTTGTGTTATGTTAATCCAAGTAACACAAATCAAATACCAAAATCCAAAGGATTAAGTAAGGATGCAGCAGGATAATGTGCTAATTTTGCAATATGCAAATGTAAATTAAAGTCATCTTAAATACTGTGACTTAAGCACTTTATAGAACATGTATGAATTCTGAGAGGGGTTAAACTTTGAGAGTATTTGCCAAGCTTTCCTTATTTATATCTATATGTACTTGTTCTTGCAGTATAGGTGTGTATTAATGAAGTGAAACCAAAAGGCTGAGTGGGATGGCCAGAGCTACTCGTTTTTACATTGTTCTATTTGCCGGTGTTTTGGCCCAGTACAGCAGCCCTTTAACATAAATTACCAGTGACAAGTTACACGTGAACTGCCTTGTTGCTGGGAGAGCCGGTTGGTGTGTCTGTGGGGCTGTGGAGCAGAGAGTCGAAGGACTCTGTGAAATTGCCTGCTGCTGGGCTGTTGCTCTGTCCATCCGCTCCTCCCGAGCCTTTCCCTCACCCCAGGTCTGTCCGGGGAGTGACCTTCCAAGTGTCCGCTTCTTCCCTGCCATGCACAAGAAGATCTCGAAGGCTTTCTGACCTTGCCACCTGCCCTCTAAGATGAGAATGGGCTCTGGGGGAAGCCGTATGCCTGGAGGTGCAGCGGGAGCGAGGGAGGCTGCTGTGGAAGACACTGCATTCTGTGGCTCTGCTGGCTCTGCCTGTAATCCTGCCCAGGAGCCACCGGCGTTGGACGGAGTCCCTGCTATTGTTTTAATGGCGTTGTACTTCTAGGAAGCGATGGATGAGGCACCGTGGGCCAAAGCTGGGGCTCAGCGTCATGCAGCCCTTCCCCCTCTCCTGCCGGGGAGGTTCTGCGAGCTTCCCAGATGCTTTCTGAAGCGGGGAAGGAAGAGGAGGATTTCTCCTCCTGGAATTGTCCGCTCTGCAGATGGGACTGAGAAGGAGGGCAGTCCGCAGTCCTGCGTCCAAGAGAAAATCGGTAGGAATCTCAAAGCATAAGCGATGAAGTTGGAGAAGGAATGATCTTAGCAAGGCTGATGGAAAAATGGAGACAAACACAATGAAGTATTGCACAAGAGCAGCTCGCAGCCTGTTGCCAGCACTAACAAATCTTCAGCATCGAGGTTCGGCTGGAAGCGTGTGGGGGGTTTACAGCGTCCTTCTCTGGGCTGGGGGCTGGTACCAGCCGATGGTCCCTGCTGCAGGGGGGGCAGGTAGCTGCTCTACACAGAAACACAGATTGAAACTGCTCAGAAGGCGAGGTTAATTATTTAAAATTTGCTAGTGGTGGGATTAATTGCAACAGTAGAATGTGCAGTATGTGGCATAGGTGATGTGTATAGGGATTTTTTTTTTTGCAACAGCCCTCATTTTTTCCCAATTTCTGTCAGTGAGTTGGGGCACGCGGGGGAATTGTGCTGAGGATCAGCCACACCCCAGTGAGCGCTGCCATTGCGCCTCAGAGAACTAAGACTGCCAGGCAGCTGTTTTAATTTTACAAAGCATTATTTGCTTCCTAGTATCGAT